CCCCCTCAATAAAGACCCCCCTATTTACCCCCCCCCCCTCTTCAATAAATAATGACCAGTCCCTAAACAAAAATAATTGATTTATTAATTAATATATATCAACACAACAGTAACCCACTGACCCTACTGGAATCATATGATGATACCTGATAAAAATTGAAGTGCAGTGAATTAATATTAATCAAGTCCAATGATTGGATGATATGCAAATATTCTCAGGCCTAGGACTGGATTGAAATAAATTCACTGCACTTACACCACAGAATAAGGCATACAGAAGGTCGAAACCAAGAAGTCCGCCTTCTGTGTACCCTATTCTGTGCTTACACTATGTATTGCATGGATGCGATGTCATTTCAGAACTTTAAATAGAGAATAATATATGGGTGCGCGGAAATACCAGATTTATTTCGAGTGTTGAACATGATATCTCACTTGTGAGCGCAGCGAACGAGTGAGATATCATGTTCAACACGAGAAATAAATCTGGTATTTCCAAGCACCCATGTATTTTTCTGTTTATTATATAATGGACAGTCTATGAAAAGCGATAATTTGTACAAAAAAGCGATATTTGAAAAGCGATAATTTTCACATGTGAGATTATCATGAATAATCTCACATGTGAGATTATCACTTTTATCAGTGCTCGAAATCTATATAAAGCACTATACTTTATATAATAATATATTTTAAAATAAGAAATCTTTATTGATAAAATTCAATGTGGTATTACAGAATGCCATTAATGAATAATTTAATTATTAACACAATTATAACAGCTTTTGTATTCGTATACAATCTAATTTTTTTCTCACAAATTTTAATAATTGAAATCATTAATGTAATAATGTTGCATGGACCAAAAGAGTTAAAAGTACCATTATACATTAAATAAGAAAATAACATATTGAAATATATAAGAATAAATGGTTTAACAAAGTCACTCTGGACAAAATGTAAACAATATTTATATAAAACCATTAAGTCATCTGTAGTTTGTGTTCTGAAGCATATGATTTATGTAAGGTGAGGACATATTACCTACTGAATCAGTTGGGTCAGCTGGTGTCGGTTGAAGATGGTATTGACCAAATGGTTGGAAAGAGTTCTCTTTCATTTCAAGCTCAAATAACACATCACTGATTCTTTTCTCAGCTACCATCCTTGTCATTCGGTCAAACTGGGAAAGTTTTTCAGCCACATATAGGGAAAATGGACATTGGATTGGAGCTGCTTGTTGGCTGGGTGCTGGTTCTTTCAGAACATTAATGCAAGTCGACAATAATTCCTGCCTTTTCATTTCGAGGTCATTCTTTTTCGATTTTCGCGAATAATAATTTGGGGTTTTGTTGCTATTTTGCCCTTGGCTTGGCACAGGAAAGCTGTTTGCATCAGCAGTGACTGAGGTTTCGACAGAACCAGGTGAGTTTCCATGCTTGTCTCCTTGGTCAACTAAGTTGTCTTTACTCTTGCGTGCTTCCATGACCTTTGTAAGGAAATGGAGTCTGTCCCAGTATATCCAGTTTGATTCATACACTTCAGACAAAGCCATTCCCGATTTCCTTGCCCTTACTTTCACCATTTCTCTTCCAAGTTGAGCTCGTAATCCGACAATTTTAGATTTAATTTCAGCAGCGCTCACTCCCAACTTTTCTTCCATTTCTTTATAAGCTTTTGCCCTTTTATCTCTTAAATGATACTCTTTGGACGATACATCCCACAAGCAAACCCGATCTTCAAGCATTTCCAGAAGCTTGTCTATTTCTTTGTCAGTCCACTTTTTCGACTTCGCAAGAGATTTCCCTCCAGATTTTTCAGCCTTCTGCTTTTTACTTGAAGTTGGCTTATTGCTTACATTGTCTTCACCGATTTCAGCGAAGTCACGCTTCTTCTGAGGCGTTTCAACAAGGGATTCCTGTGTCAAACTTTCGTAAAAGTCATCACATATTTCATCTTCGCTCTCCGCCATTTTGAATGTTTTTAATGCGAATCTCCATGGAAACGATGACGTTGTATGACGTTGTACTAATTTTTCGTCAAATGTTGGACGATGTTGGATGAAAAGTTTGAACAAAATCAAACTTGATCCAACATCATCCAACATAATGCAACAATATCCAACATGGTGTTCAAACGGACCCAACATGTTGGACACAACAATGTTGGATGATGTTGGTCCAACATGTTGCATCCGTTTAAACAGGCCTTTAGTTCGTTATCAATTGTAATACCTAAGGGTTTTTTTTGCTTAACTTGTTTAATAATGGATCCGTTTATATGTATACGAATATCAGTGCGAAATTGATTAAGTTTTCTTTTTGAGGCTATTAGCATAAATTCTGTTTTGTCTGTGTTCAATGTCAACCTATTTGCTTCTAACCAGTCGTTAACATTGGATAAGTCAGCGTTTAGTTTGTGATCAATTTCGGCTGGGGTCCTTCCTGTGCATGATAGATTGGTGTCATCAGCAAACATGGATGCTTGTGTGTACTCAAGGCACATTGGCAAATCATTTATGTACAATGAGAATAGCAATGGTCCCAGATTGGAACGCTGTGGTACTCCACATTGAACTGTTTCTTGGCCTGACTTGTTATTATTAATGACACAAACTTGTTTTCTGTTGTTTAAGTAAGATGCTGGTAATTTTAGAGGAGTACCCTTTATACCATATTGGTATAGCTTTTGTAGGAAAATAGAATGATCAACCGTGTCAAACGCTTTTTTAAGATCCAAAAATAGCACTCCATTTGCCATTCCTTTATCCATGTTGAGTAGCCATTGATCTGTGCATTTTAATAGAACATTTTAATGATCTGGTCCACTGTCGTACATCGCGGTTGATGCTGGGCCAAACATATCGTTCACTGATCAGGCGTTGTGTTGCCTTGATGTCTGGGTGGGAAAGGTTGTGGAGGGAGTCGAAAATGGTGCGGCGAAAGGCCTTGGGAACAAAAGGTCGAGGTTTACCGGTGGAAATGTCGCAGGTAATATGGTTCTTGGAGGTGGGTATAGGGTGATCTCGCAATTCCATTGTGGAGGACGAAGAATCTTTTCGAATCTTGTTGAGTTCTTCGTCGTGGTGTTGAGCACGGGCCATGGCGTCAAAAATCGACAGTGGACGAAGGAGTCAGGGTGGCGATACGTGACAAGGCATCGGCAACTGGGTTGGTGTTCCCACTAACATGACGGAGATCGGTTGTAAATTGGGAAATGAAGTCCAAGTGGCGAATTTCTCGAGGTGAATGACGGTTGAGGGAATTGTGTATGGCATAGGTCAACGGTTTGTGGTCGGTCAAAACAGAGAACTGGCGGGCTTCAAGGTGGTGGCGGAAGTGGCGGATAGAAAGGTACACTGCGAGGAGTTTGCGTCCGAAGGTGCTGTACCGGGTTTCTGCTGGTTGAAGGCGTTTGGAAAAGAAACCGAGTGGTTGCCAAACGTTGTTGACTCGTTGTTGTAGAACGGCACCAAGTGCAACATCGGAGGCATCGGTCATCAGGCACAGCTCAGCGTCAGATTTTGGGTGTGAAAGTAGAGTGAAATCAGCAAGGGCGTTCTTGATCTTCTGAAAAGCAGAAGTAGCTGGTTTGGAACATTGGAGTGGGGTGTTATTTGTCTTCTTTGTGGAGCCTGTGGAAGCGAGCATGTCAATGAGAGGCTGAAGGATGTGAGAACATTGTGGGATAAACCGGCGGTACAAATTCACAAGGCCAAGGAATTCTCGAAGTTTGGTGAGCGACGTAGGGAGGGGAAAATCACGGATGGCTTTGACTGTCGAGTCAAGGGGTTGAATACCGTGTGCAGTAACGTTGTGTCCAAGGAACTCGAGAGATGAAATACCAAATACGGATTTAGCGGGGTTGATCACCACACCATACTGTCCAAAACGGTCGAAAAGTAATTATAGATGGACTTCGTGTTCGAGGGCGTTCGTGCTAGCGATGAGAATGTCATCAATATACACATAAACGAAATCGAGGCCACGAGTAACTTCGTCCATAAAGCGTTGGAAGGTTTGAACTGCGTTGCGAAGACCAAAGGGCATGTTGGTAAATTCAAACAAACCAAAAGGGGTAGTAATTGCGGTTTTACAAATGTCGTCTTCAGCCATAGGGATTTGATGATAAGCTCGAACGAGGTCAATCTTGGAGAAGATGGTTTTACCATGGAGGCTGGCGGAGAAATCTTGAATATGTGGAACGGGGTATTGGTCAGGTATGGTGACGCGATTAAGACCACGATAGTCCCCCAATGGACGCCAGTCTCCGGGTTGAGATTTGGGAACCATGTGAAGTGGAGAGGCCCAAGAACTACTGGAGGGGTGGATAATTCCCTTGTCCAACATATGTTGAAACTCATCTTTAGCGATCTTCAGTTGTTCTGGTGGAAGGCGCCGGGGTCGAGAAGAGCAAGGTGGTCCTCGCGTAAGGATGTGGTGGGCGACATTTTGCTTAACAGCAGTTTGCTTTGTTGTTGGTCTGGTAATGTCTGGATACTCGCCGAGGCCAGAGTTTCGTGAAAGGAGTTGAAGAGAAAGGAGCATAGACAGGACTAAGAGCTGGTATTGGCGAAGTAATACCGTTCACACGAAGGTGGGTAACTGCGTCAATAAGGCTGCGTGTGCGTAGGTCAACGAGAAGGTTGAAATGGCGAAGAAAATCAGCGCCGATGATGGCGTGGTTGACGTCTGCGATGGTGAAAATCCAGGGTACTTCTTAGCCGAGGCACCGAACTTTGTGTGGTACCAACAAAAAATGGACCGGGGGCTTGGCTCAGTAGTGGTGAGCTCACGGTTGTGGAATGGAGAGGACGAACGGCGTGTAGGGGACCGACTGCGACGTCTTTCGGTATGAGCATCTTGCGGTGAAGTGTGGAGGCTGAAGTTGTTGATGGTGGTGGTCAGCTGAGCAACTAGGTCTCGAAGTTCACGCATTTCAGTGGACTGTGCTGTGGGTGATGGTGCTGATTGGGGAACAACGGTGGAAAGGGTAGAATGCACGGGAGCGACCTCTACGATCTTGTCAGCCATCTTGGCCAAACTCGCTGTGTCCATTTCGTCTGCGGTAGAGGCTAAAATCAGTTGAGCGTTGCTTGGGAGACGTTGGAGGAACAACTGTTTCATTATGGAGGGTTCGAGTTGGATATCACCGAGCAGCTGTTGCATACGACGGTAGAGTTGAGTTGGCTTTCGATCTCCTAACTCTTCGGCGTGCAGCAATTGGTTTAATCGTTTTTGCTGAGACGCGGAGGTGCGTTTGACGAGTTCGGTTTTCAGTTTGGTGTAGGGTTCTTCTGCAGGAGGGTTGATGAGAAGGTCTCAGACTTCTTGAGCGACTTCGGGTTGAAGTGAACCAACAACATACGCGTATTTTGTGCGTTCTGCGGTGATGCCCCTGGTTGTGAATTGGGCTTCGACTTGGGAAAACCAAAGTTCTGGATCGCTTGGCCAGTAACGTGGGAGTTTGATGCTGATGGAGGTCACCGGTGATGCTGTAGGTTGCACATCGGAGGTTGAAACTGTTGAAGACGAAGCATGTGACTGTTGACTATCCATTGCTGCGTAGAAGTAAAAATGATTCTCGTCGGGGTCACCAATGTAGCGCGAGTATTGATTTGTTATATAGTGTTTGTCAAAATTCGGAGAACGCTAATAGATAATTTGATACATTTATTTTACTTCACAATTGTGGAGTCGTCATTTAATATCTAGTAATGAGTTGAGCACGATTACTCGCTAGAGCGCAAAGCTAAGTAAGACTGTCCTACTAAGAATTTTTACAAGTTATTTTATACGCGAGTTAGAAGAGGCGAGGCGGAAAAGCAATTAAGATTAGTGTCAAGATAATTAAGGCGCGTTAATACAATTAGGCTAGAAGTGATAACAAGATATAAATATGTACAAGTGTTGGCTGCCAAGAGGAAATTTTATGTTAATAGTTTTTGCGGCGTAAAGATTAAATCTAGGCGAGTCTACTTCCAAAAAGGTTTAAAAATAATATAACTAAAAATAATGTTTGTAGAAGTTCCAAAAGTTATTAATGTCTTTGAGCCAAAACAGCATAATATCCGCTTGGTGATATCGGGTGACTATCACTACACAATCTTACCGATTATTAGTCAAATTTTCGAAAGATCCGTTTTCAATCAATTGTATGAATTTCTCAACGTTAATAATCTACTTTCTAAACATCAATTTGGGTTTCGCCCAAAATATTCTACTCTGGCAGCACTCATTCAGATGTGCGATGCATGGTATGAGAATATGGATAATGGTGAATTAAATGGTGTAGTTTTTATAGATATTGGAAAAGCTTTTGACTCTATTAATCATAATATTCTTTGGCGCAAAATGAAAGAACAATTTGGGATTTAAAATATTGAATTAAAACTTTTTGAATCCTATCTTTCTGATAGGGAACAAGTGTCATTTGTTAATGGCGCAATGTCAGCACCAAAAAGGATTGTTTGTGGGGTGCTTAAAGGATCTATATTGGGCCCCTTATTGTTCTTATTGTATATTAATGATTTACCTGATTGTCTTGAGAAGTCTACCCCATGCTTATACGCTGAGGATTCACAGATATTTTCATCTGCGAAAGACTGCGTGGAACTTAATGCTAATTTAAATCATGATTTAGACAATGTTAGTCAATGGCTGGTTAAAACCAAACTGCCGCTTCATTCAACAAAAACCAAATTAATGTATGTCGGATCAAATCATAATCTTGCTAAAATTCATAACGAGTTCCCCGTAATGATTAATGATCAACTGATTCCCAGAGTGCACTCAATCCCGTGTTTGGGAATTACACTTGATGAAACATTGAACTGGGACGAACACATTGAAATTGTTTGCAAAAAAGTTGGAGCGGGCATAGGAATTTTAAAGCGTATCGAGCCCTATGTTCCTGCAAACACATTGATATCAATTTATAATGCTCTGATACACCCTTACTTCGATTACTGCTCTCCCCTTTGGGGAGTTTGTAACAAGACACTAAGAGATAATTTACAAAAGTTCCAAAATCGGGCTGCCAGAATAATAGTTGGCGCCAGTTATGAGATCAGATCTGCTGACGTTCTTCGAACTCTTGACTGGGAAAATTTGGAAACAAGATGGTACTTAACCAAGGCAACATTTTTATATAAAGTCTTGAGTAATAGTACCGCGCCAATTCTGAAAGATTCATTCATAAGTAGAAATATTTTACTAAACAATTATAATCTTAGAAATTCTCAAACTGATCTGACCCTTCCAAAGCCAAACAGAGAATTTCTCAAAAGAAGCTTTAAATATAGCGGTGCTTATCTTTGGAATAACCTTCCACTTGAAGCTAAGCAAGCTCAATCAATTTATATATTTAAAAGATGTATAAAACAAAATGTTTGATGTTAATAACTGAGTCTGGATTCACTTAATTATATATTTATTCTGGGACACACCATCGTGGTTTATACCGTAGCTTTTGATAATGTACATATTGTAGTAGACTTAGTTTCCTTCCATTTTATATTCTTTGTAATATTTTTTATATCGACGCCCCCCGTGGAAATCAACTTTTGTAGTTGTCGCGGCTAGCGTCGCTAAATAAAGTGTGTATGTGCATGTATGTATATACCTGCACCGACGCCAATGAAAATGCGACAAACAATAAACACAACAAAGGCCTTTGGAAATATCATAATCCAAGTCGCAAGGATGGTAAGAACACAGCCACAATACAAAACTATTTTTCTGCCAAAATTATCTGATATAAGACCGCCAACCAACAAGGCAACCAACATTCCAACCCAGAAACACGATTGAGCGATAGATAGAAGAATCGAGTCATCACAAATTAGGTCGTACTGAAATAAAAGATAAAGTACGATTTTAGAAGGTAAAATACCTAAGCTGGCTTTTTCAAAATTTATTTTTATAATCTCACCGCCCCAAAATAGATTATAACTGCACATTCAAATATGGAAGATGCACGGCCATGCAGGATAAGACATGTTAAGGTTTAGACGCTCTCCGACCGAATTAATAGGGAGCTTAACATGTAGGACGGCAACACGACGACGACGGCCAAAACAAATTCCTTCAAATAAATGATAGTAAAGAAAACTTGTCGTATATTATAATTCGTATGAATTTAATGTTTGGGAAGAGTTGTACTGAACCGAATTTTAAGTTGCACTTGTTACGGCTTGAAATGCCGCCGCAGGCTATGTATAAAAGACGTAAAAATATGTGATTTAATTGCCGTTATAAACAGAGCGACGACTACGTCTGAAACTCCCCTGGGATTTTTGTTATTTATTTCTTTTCATTGACGCATTGTATTGGTTGCCATCGTCGTCGTGTTGTACAGTAGTCCTGCATGCTTAAGCTCACTATTATTTGGTCATAGAACTAGTCAAGTTTAATAGAATACGTTTGTTCTAAAACATTGTTTCTTATACCCATGTTGTCCAATAGTGGGTAATCCAAGTGGGAAACACTGTTTCTTAGCCATGTTTTCCAAATATAGTTTAAAGAAAGCAGGAAGCTGTTATTGTTTCGTAGCAATGTTTTCCAAAGATGAATAAATCAGGAAACATTGTTTCTTTGCCATGTTTTTAAAGGTAGATTCTTAACTATGTCAAACAGGTTTCTTAACGATGTCAACCAGGAAACATCGTGCCATGACTATAAAGCCAGTTTTCCACTTCAATCGTATCGTACCGAAAAGTTGCGTATTTCTTTGTTTCCTGAGAGGTAGTGTGAAACTAATGACTTCGACACAAAAGAAAATGTTACGGTACGCCACGTTACGGTTGAAGTGGAAAACAGGCTTAACTCCCAAAGGTGGGCGAACAGGTTTAACATTATTTCCTAGTGATGATTGCCCAAGGTTGGTAAAGCAAGAAATAATGCGGTTCCTCAGAAATGTTTCTTGATGGTAGCACAACACTGTTTTCTAGCCACGTTGATCAGAGTATATTTTCTCCACAACAAAATTCTGAAAATTCTGATCTGGTAAATAATTATTAACACCATTTTCAAATGTCGCCTCGACGTGTCATGTTTACCCAAAGGCAGGGCCGTAACTATACGCCATAATTGGGGGTGGGGGGGGGGGGGGGGGTGAATACGGATTTCTTTTGAAAGCTATTGTTTTCACGGTATGTGAACATGATTCTATGAATTATGAATATTCACCCCCCCCCCAGTTATTGCGTCTAGTAGTAGTTACGGCCCTCATGCCCAAAGGATAAGGTAAACAGTGTTTTGGAATTAAGTCTGCTTTGTTATTGCATCGGCAAGGGATTTCCGAATGCATATATTTCTGTCAAAAGGAAATGCCGTGAACATATACGGTTTCCAATTGTATAAGTATTCTTTTCGAAATTTAAGTTTGAATCAAGACATATTCGTATGGCATAATTGTACAAATTTTACACATTCCTTACCTCCGTAACAGTTGATGTAAAGTCATCCACAAACGTCCAAGCCTCTCTCGGCATTTTACATCTCGCTTTGTAATCATCACTGGTTAAAGTTATTGATTTGTTAAATCTACATACGGTATTATTCATATATCCATCAACACATTTCCACTCTGGTTCTGCTGTAATAAACGTCACTATCATGACAGGGAACGAGCCAAGTGATAATGCTACATAGCCAATAATGCTCAGTAGGTACCATTGATACTGACGAAATATACCAATCTTTATTAAAACCTCATCAATCGTAAGAGCCATTGTGTATCTCAGCCTATAACAGGGTTTATTTTAAGAAAAACTTAGAACTGCACATATAGGGATGTTACGAAGGCAACGGGTGTTTGACTGGGAGAGGGAGGGGGTCGAAGGATTTTTTACCTGCAATTAGGTGACAGAATAATGGTGTGGTTGGGTGGGAGAAAGGTCAGACAAACTCGATTTTGGGTGCGGGAGCTAGGGTGTGTTCCCCAAAACAATTTGAATCTAGAGGCTCTTAATAAGTTCTGGCAAAGATTTGTTTCACCCAACCCTTCACCAAACTGTTTCAAAACCTGGGAATCATGGATATTCAATATGTAACAACCTTAAATTTGCATTTGAGGCAGCAAAGAATATTAGGTTCTCCCACTCTAATCTCTTTTGAATAGGTTCGCTCGCCCCAATTTTACCTTCTCTTCCATTACCCCAGCACGCAAATGATTTGTGAGGAAAATAGGAGCATCTGGAGTCCTCCCCCAGAAAACGTTTATATTTTTGATGCTCAATTAATGACAGCATTTCTGGAATTTTCTGGAGCATCCACAAGGGTAACAAGTAAATGAGAAGACTGTTTTAATTAAGGCTATTTTTGTTAGTTTCGCCGGTGACTGGACATTTGTGTTTTAGGAACTGCACAAATGGGTTTAGAACTGCACATTTTGTGTAGAACTGCACGTTAAAATAAACCCTGGCCTATAATTGTCTAAAATTTAGAGAAGATTGTTGTGTAATTCTATTTCTCGCTATTGGGTCCAGCTCCGCTTCAGCGAATAAGTAGAAAACGGTGAGAGGAGTGGTATTTCACCGACGCAGTGGTGTCAAGTAACGAAGTACGTAAATGTACTTCGTTACTGTACTTGAGTACTATTTTTGAAAAGTGAGCAAATAACAAAGTAAACGTTTTCTGGAGTACTTTTACTTGGAACGAAGTCGTTTTAAGGTGGCTCCCTACAGTTATTCTTGTTTAAGCAATAATGCCGTAAAACAGGCTTATTCGTGCAGAACGCGAATTCTTTTCGACTTGGTGGTAATATTGGTCACCTAAGGAATATTTTGAACTAGATTTTGACGATGTCAATGTTCCCATGGCAACATGACTACAGCATAAAGCCTTCCAATTTAACCCATAAATGTGCCGCTATCTCAAAAACGATGTCGGTGACCTATTTTTTTTATTTCACATATCAATAAGGAATGATGCTCTGCAACTGTGGTGAAAGTTTAAAAAAATTCTGTAGTGTGTGATTTTTTTAAAAGCGAAAAATTTATTGCAAAATTTCCACACTACAGATTTTTTTAAAATTTGAAATTTGTAAAATTTACCGCAAAATAAATTCGTGGTCAACATTTGAAGATAGGTCACCGATGAAACTAATGAGTAAAATGCAAATAAAGTTAGAAAATAGCCTCGTGTAACTCGAGAAATTCAGCAGCTGGGAAATTTGTTGTCGCTGTGCAGAGAAATTGCTGGCGCACGCGATATTTTACAAAAATTCGAAAATTTGAAAAAACAACACGAGTGAAATTTCAACTGATGATTTTGCATTTTTAAGACGGCGATCAAAGAAATTAAATTGTAGGAAAAACTTCACTAACATCTCAAGTATGGAAAGCATCTACATTATCAGCATTTTAATTTTGGATTGATTCAAAATTCAGACGATAAAGTTACATAGCTAGGAGTTGGCTTTTGTGCTCTTCGAATATCCATTTTCATTCGCGGATTACCACAACTTGTTGGTCTCATGGGTGCCAAAATCGACATAAACGTAAACCGGCAACCAAGAGCTATAAAACAAATAGCTTTTCAAAACGATAAACTTTATTCAGTCAAAAGGATGAGAGTAAATAAACATGCTACTGCGTGATGGTGATTTTGAAGCAACTTTGTCACATATATTTTAAAAAGTGGGATAATGAATCAAATTTTATGAAAAAAGGTATGAAAATTATTTAAATATTTAAGGTTTCCGTGTTTATAATGTTTTTTTGAGAAAAGTAAACATTTTTCCGATAAAAAAGCATAGTTTCTGCAGAAAAGTGTTTTTTTGAGGTAAAATATCCTGGGAGAGGGGGTGTAGAGGCGTGGGCGGATAGCAAAAAACTTTGACGATTTCACCAAAAAATTAATACCAAATTTTGTTTGCCTTAGTTTGATGTGTAATTTAAACAAGTTGTTTTACATCTAAAAATTGCCCCTCGTGATCAAAACTTGGATTATGTTCGCAGTATTGGCCATTTGTTTACTTTTGGGGATCAAAGTTTGAGGTCCAATTATTTTTAAAGATTGCAAAGTACCCAGCTAATTATTGGCTGTTGTTTGCAGCCTTGTATGCTGATTAAAATTTAGTTTATTCCACAATAGTAGAAGCTTTCAAAGAAAGGAAATTAAAAATAGTATATTTGATTACTTTTACAGCACAGTTAGTACATAGGTAGGGTGCAATACCAGGCCAAATTGAAAAAAAATTTACCGAAATCTCCAAATTTAAATCATATTTTTTTGCTCCCAAGGCACATAGGAAACATAATTTAACAATGAATTTTGTTAAAAAATTGCCCCTTTGCGTCTAATTTCGCTTTGAAATGCGTGCGTTTACTGCTCTTGTACGAGATAAGAGTTCGAAAACATTCGAACTACTGTAAAATGTAATGAAATCGACAACTTGACCTTGCCCTTGAGACCTTGTACTGCCTCAGCACTGAAATGTTTTTTGACAACGATAATATACCAGTGTTTCTTGGATATTTTCCTTGTTTGACTAGTAGAACCGAACATACAAGTGCATTAGAAGACTAAGCGAGAGTTTTGTGTAGAAATGCTCTGTTTACGGTATAGGTATTTTGCATTCGCAAGCCTCAACAAAAGCCGGCATTTTCACAGTTTGATTATCATGTCGATAGATAAAAGCTTTGAAAATTCAATTGAAAACATTTTAAACCACCCGTATTTGTATAGAATTTATGTTAGTGGTATTAACATTGAACTTCTTTCTGTTTGAACCCAAATTCGTACTTGTTTTGCGTTTGACAAGGCTGTCAAGCTTGCGACGATTGGCAGGCATGACTGCAGATTTAGCGTGTCAAATGTCTTCTTGTTTGTGTCAAGTTTATAATATTCTATTGCTGTTCAAACACAAACGAGATATTCTATACACTGGAAACGTGGAGCACATTTTACTTTGTCTTTGTCTCGAGCAAAAAAATTATAAAGATTAAACAGGCATTCAAAAATATACAACAACCACGAACATCTCGTTATTTCTTCGGGAAATCTTCAAGTTTCAATGGAAATCTGGCGCATGCGCAACAAATTTCCCAGCTGCTGAGAAATTCCCCTATTGAAAAGCGTCGCTGACCAGTAAAAGATTTTACGCGGGCACAGAACGAGTTTTCATTCAGCAAAATCGAGCCGCAATGTTGTTTTTACTGTTTTGTTTTTGTCAACTTTTCGATTTATTTGAGCGCTATGGACAGCCAAGGATTATTGTGAAAGATTAAATCGATGAAAACAAGGTTGAAGCTAATTGAATCCTGCCGTTTTCTCAATATATGAGCTGTAACAGCCTATTAACAGGTGGACGTGTTGGGTTTTGTACTTTTTGCTAAAAATGAACAATTAGGCTATGAAACTGAAATATTTTTCTGTTTACATATAATCACTTTAATTTTGTAGAAACACGACTAAAAACGTGAACGTTTCTTGAGAAGTAAACAACTTTTTAAACGTTTGTATGCAATTTTGCAAATGTTTTACAGTTGAGTCAGTTGACAGTGTATAAAAAAATTAAAAAATATTGTTTCGTAGCTATTTTTTATCTAGTTATTATTCGTATCATATGTAGAATTGCTGTATAGACTCGCAAGTGATTTGGCACTCAAAACGAAGTATTATTCAACTCTTTCTTCCATTAGAAACATTTCAGAAATAACTTTATTTTTAAAAAAAGCATGGTCAATTTTTGTTTTGTTTTGATCATGCAGTTGCGTGAGATAGTTCACGTACTTGTCCCGCGAACATCCCGCACGGAACTGTAGGGAGCCTCCTTAAGAAGTAACGTTTTACTTCGTTATTTTCATTTTGTGTCGAAGTATTTCGTTACTTTCTAACTTTTGTTTAATTTTAATTTTACGTGATTTATTCCTGATTTATTTTCACTTTGGGACAGGGTCAATAGGACCTCTACATCCGTCTGGGATCTAACGTTTGTGGCTTACTTATATAAGCATTATCTATTTAATGGATTTCATCTTCAACGGGGGTCTGGAAAGTGCACGCATATAATGCGTGTGTTGTTTTGCTTCTTTTGTATGTCCCTCCAGTGGAACCCCCCCCCTACAGGTGACGTCACTCACTTTATTATTATGTAAAAACTCCATATGATATTATTAGCCAATCAGAAACCATTAATCTTTTTAAAAAAATAGCACAGTTGTACTCAATATTAATTATGATCATGTCTGGCTTGTTTGCTGCAGCAATATTACAAAGTGCATACAACTAGCGTAACTTGCAACAAGAGTCAGAATAACTTTATCACGCTGTGACACGAAATTTAACCTCCAAGTGTTTTGCATCACATAAGGGACTGGTCATAAAGTATATTGGTCCAATTTAAATTTTGCATTATAACGACTGCATGACGACAGTGAAATAGCAAACATTTCTTGATTTGATGATTGATAAATTTCTTGCAAATATATTTCATTTTTGCTCGTATTTCTGCAAGATTTTGCAAATTTCAAGAAAGAAAAGGCGAAAGAGTCGGGGTAAATTTGTTTTAAATATTGATTTTATAATTGCTTTAAAATCCGAAGGCCTTTGCGTATATGAAACAACTAAACAAGACAGCATATAATTTCAGTGTATCTTTAATATTGATTCCCTTTTTTATTATATTGATTTTTTTTAATAAAATATAAGCAAAGTTATTTGCAAGCGAGAATTCGAAATTATTTTATTGCAAACTCAAAGTTTATCGATAAAGCCATTTATTAAATAGCTAAAGGCAGTTTAGTTTTATAAAGAACACTTTAGAACGTTTTGTGAATTGTTTGTGGTTGAATTTTACCTTATAACTAGTGAAGCTTGTATTACGTATAATTACATACCTAACATATTTATGTTGGGAAATTGATAATTTTGTAATTAAAAGTGATATTTTAAGGCGATTTTCATTTGTAAGAATGTTCTTAAAAAATTATCGTGTTACCCAGTGTGACCCGACTTTTTCAGCAGTCATTACCAAAATTTTGTTCAAATTTTACTAAATTAAGAAAAATTTTACCAAATGTCGGCTTCCCAAATAATTACGTCATGATAATGCCCAAAAACAATAGTTACGTCATCAAAGTAGAAAATATATTCACAAAAAGTGTCTCGAAATACTTGTTGCTTTCATCGTATTGCAGTTTTTGCTAATGATAAGGCTTTATTTCTTAGGCTTGGCAGTTCTGTTCATCACTTTGAGCACGTTATTAAACGAAAAACACACATTTTTACAAACTATTTTTAATAATTCAAACCTTTCAGATTTTACCAAAATTTTACCAAAAGAAACTCATTGGCAAATTTTCTTGAAAATTCACAAAATTTTACCAAAAGTAAAACTTTTTACCAAATCTGGTCAAACTGGTGTTACCATGACAACTACTTTAGATACTTCATGTTCGGAAAATACAATGGTTTTGTCAGCAAAGCGAGGGTTTCTGCATGCATGTATTTTCTAGTATGCGCATCATAACTAAGAAATGAGTCCATCCACTGGGAACAAATCATTTCCCATTAATGAAACATGAAAGTTCTCAGGTATTCTCTGTAACATTTGACGTGTTCCAAAAAGCGGTAACTTAATTGGTCTTATCAGGATTGATTAAAAGACTATTATGACAGCACCAACCAGCAACATTTCCTAGATCTTTAGTAATTTGAAGTGCGGCAGTACCAGCAGAGGCGATTGGGAACAAAAGATTTATATCAAATGTTAATAAAAAATTTATATTAAATGTTAATAACTTGGAGTCATCCACGTGGGATTCCATAGAACAATTTTCCGGAACTGACGGTAACTCTTCTATATAGATATTACCATTATTAATCTTACACAAAATGGAATATTTGGATCCAATCCTAACATATTGCTTCCGATCTGAGAGATAGCTCTTGAATCATTGCACTGCAGGCTTACTAAGTCCAAGACCTCGTAATTTACGAATCACGGAATCAGGCGACAATGGTCGATGCTGTCGAATGCCTTTGATAGATCTAAAAGAACCACAAGTGTAACCTTCTTTGAGTCCATCGCCTCCAGGCCAAAATCTTATCCGTCATCATGATATTTAATGTCTCGGTTGAATCCAAAGGTTTATTCCCTCTTTGCTGCGTACTTAAACGGTCATTAGTGTTCAAGTATGAAGTCATTTGGTTCAATGCTATTGGCTCGCATATCTTTGAAATCGCTGGAAGCAACGAGACTGGACAGTTATGACTTGCGACTTCGTAATCTCACTTTTATCATCCATCTTCCTTTTTAACAAGTTCACATTTCCTATAATGCTTGAATGCGTACTGTGCACAATCTCTAACAAGCTATCCAAGCTACTTTTCTTGGCATCCAAAAATTAAAGCTCGTTTGCTGCCCCTTTTACTTTCCAAAGTTTCACATTGCTATCAGAGTCAAAGAGTTTTGATCTGAGTTCCATCACATACTTGACACCACTAACTTGACATTCACTTTCCAGTTTTTCAATTAGTTTCTGAGAACTTTCTGCTTGTCTCCTGATTTGAAGTTAGACAGAGTATTGCTAAAGCGAACAACATTCATGCCATTCCCATCCTTGCTATCTGGGTCTATTGTACTCATTCCCTAACAAAAAAAATCTATAGGCCTGGCCTATAGGCCAACCTATAGGTTTCTATAGGAAACCTATAAGTTTTTATAGGCAATTGGAACATTTTCTATAGGTGACCTATAGGGATGCCTATATAAGCCTATAGAGCTCTATAGGTGCCTAAAGGCTTCTATAGGGAATTGGAACAATTCCTACAGGAACCTATAGGCCACCTATAGACTTTTTCGTAAGGGTTACCCTTTTTCTTTGCTTCTCGCAATCTTTTGTTATTTTCCAACGTACTGTCCGCTGTGAAATAACATACTCTTTAAATTGAATTGGAACCATATGACAAACTGTACAGCTCTTCCAATGTTTGGTTAAAAAATTCCAGCTGGTCATTTAAAGGATTTGGAATCCACAAGTCCTTTGCGAACTTTGGCCCTAGTTGTGTAAAAGAAGCAAGTGGTTCTATTAAAAATAAGTATTTAAATATTTAGTGGATGAAAAAAATCTTTTCAACTTTTAATAACAATATCAACTGAGTTTTCCACCAGCATGTTTTGAACTACCAAGCCCGAGCAAACATCCTTCAAAAATCTTTCCATTCCTTGACGTTGTTTGTAATTTGAACGATTTGGTCCAAGTCATCATAGCATTTATAAAAAAAACCCCAAAATACTGGTTAAGATTACATTTATCAAGAAACATTCGCACTTTCTCGTTCTGATTTACCGAGGATATAAATTCACTCTCAGCAGCCATCTTGATCTTGAGACTAGTGTGGCAACCACTATAACGCAACTACACGAAGTACGCACGTATAACAAAGAAAATGCGGGCTCTAATTGCTTAGATTTACACAATAAATTTTATAGTTATAATTTGCGCATTTATGGAAATGAATTTCAACGGCAAAAATAGTTTACGTTTGGAAACACGGAATCAGTTAGAATATTCTGAATTGGTTCTCGTTTCACAGCAGACTTGTTCACCAGATGAAAATGAGAACTTATTATCCGCAAAGATCGATCACTTTGAAGGCAAGGATAGTAAACCACTGTCTCCCGGAATCATTTTCCGCGTCAACAACCTGAAAGGATTATGAGCTGTCTTTCAGATATTGATGTCAAATCTTATACAAACGGACAAACGTTGCGATATTCTTGTAGGAATTTCATGAAGCACATGCCTTATTTTTATCGCATCATCCGGCTTTTGAAACAGTCGATAGCATTACTAACCGCCACTGTAAGAAGGTTTTCAAAGATCTACTATGCCACAGTGACGTAGCTAGAGGGGGGCGGGGCCCCCTGGGAAAATTCAAAATTGAACTGCATGGTTAAAACACCAACAGAAGGCTTTTTCCTTTTTTCTTGGTTATAACACGCGCGCTAAATTTCTATGCTCAAATTCATTCTGTGATTGGAAATCTCAAATCTCACGTCCTGTTGGCTCCATTTGGAGTCTCTTAATTAATAATCGAAACATACAGAAAGTGTTTTCAGCTTTTAACCTTTTCAGCAACTAAAGTGTGTTTGGCAAATTAACTTACCATTATTCGGGGCATTCCTCTTTGATTATCAAAATAACAACAAGCAAGTTGATCATACGTGCAGGGTTTTACTTTATCGACAAACCCATTTCACAAGGCAAAGTTACTAAATAGGTTAATCAGGGCCGTAGCAACCGGGGAGGGAGGCTGGGAGATGCAGTCGCCCCCCCCCCCCCAATAATTTGCTAATAATCATTCAACAAGTTGTACAGGGGCGAAGTTGTACTGACGCTTGTGTGAAAAATTATCCGTATTTATCAAAATTTCAAGTTGTATTTCGAACAATTTCGTTTCACAAAGCATAATGACTGACTCTGATAGTCAATCTATATGTTCAGATTTAAATATATCAGAATCAGAGGGAAATACAACCGAAATACAGAACCCAACATCTCAGGTTGTTGAACACGACGGCGAACAGTCTACCAATGAAAGCAGATTTGAGCTGGAATCGCTGGACATTTTTTCACAGCATTCAAGTGATAAAGATCAAGGTGAAAATAAAGATCAAAGCGAAGCTCCTTCAAACTTACGTAGACTTTTCGTCACGGAGAAAGGAAGTCTGAAATGGCGAAGCGATTTTGAGGGCCTTTGTCATGTTGTTGAACAGCTACAACTACAGCCAGGGAAGTGGACTACACCGAGGGGACAGTGTAAACAATTTGAGAACAGCGATGTTGTAATATGCTGGTACATAAACTCTGGAACTTTAACGATAAAAGGGAATAAGGCAAAAGAAATTAAGGAAAAACTTTTATATTTCGACAGTAATTCGAGCGACAAAGTCATTACAGATTCGGTTAGTTCAAAATACAGTAATTTGCATTCCACTCTCAAGTCACAAGATAGTAATTTACATATTAGTTCACGAAACAGTCTCCTGAATAATGAAACACTACGATCTAATATGTATAATCCCTCCGTTAATCCGAATGAAACAAATTACACACATAACTCGGAAATTCATGAAATTAAATCTAACATGGAGTGTTTTGCCAATTCTGTCAACCGAAAATTAAAGGTCATTAGCAACGAAATATCTAGCATCAAAGAGTTTAAAGCTTACTCTATACTGTCATTAGAAGAAGTCGTTAGTGATTTGAAAAAGGAAAAGCTGGTGCTGAGCAACAAGAATGATAAATTAGAAAAAGAAAATAAAGATTTATGTGTATCTTTGTCAGAGCTTCGAGCTAAGGTGATAGACCTTCAAGATGAAAAAGCAAGCCTATTAACCGCAATGAAGTTAATCCAACGGGAAGGAAAAGATGAACTAGAAGAAAATAAAAAAAGGATTGAAGCCCTGGAAAACGAGAATAATAACCTAAGAGATGAAAAGCTCGGATTCACCAGAGTGATGAAACGGAAAAAGAAAATGGCTACCATTTCTTCTCCTGAAGCTACTAGCTCATTGAAAGTAAAGAATCAGTTTGAAGTTTTAAGCTCTGAACAGGAGGACGAGGAAGATATTTACGAAACGAAGGTTAAATCATCATGGACTTTCTCACAGAAAGAAATTGCGGTCAATAACAATATAACCTCAAAAGATCCGCGCTCCCAGAATGAAAGTACTTCCTCTCAACCCGACTCATTATCAAATATTACCCCAACTCATCATACTACAGACAAAAGTAGCAGCGACAGCCCAATCCTAATTATCGGCGATTCTATCATCAAACATATTGATCCTAAAAAGATCTCCCGAAAGAAAACTATTAAACGCACGTTTCCTGGCAAAACCGCAGAACAAATAAAATCTGAAGTGGAATCTATGGAGGTTGAAGTACTTCCTTCACACATTATTGTACATGCTGGGACTAATGACCTTTCTGTGCAACCGCCGCATAATTGCGTTAAAAACATCGAGAATCTAGCTTTGTGTATAAAAAAGAAATTTACAGATTCAAGAATAGCAATATCCAGCATAACTGTCAGAAACGACTTGGATTTAAGCAAACAGATCTCCACTGCTAATGAAGAATTACAAAAAATGTGCTCTAAGAACGGGTTTGATTTTATTAAAAACAATAATATTGATGCTACATGCTTAAATGGCGGCCTGTTACACTTGAACTCAAAAGGATCCGCATTCTTGGCAACAAATTTTATTAAGTTCCCAAGGGGGAACATTCCAGCTGCATCAGAGTATCGCCAAAGGAAGAGAGGGGAGGATTTTCAAGGTCGCCGGACATATCAGAATCATTCACCAGAGGACCTACTGAGACTCCTATTACTCGCTCAGAGGACCGAGTATTAAGTAATGATTATAATCGGTGTGACCCTCCGACAGGTAAAATAGATGAATCTAATAATATATTTTCTGATTTAGATTGTTCTAAAGGCCTAAAAATGGCAAATTTAAATATTAATAGTCTTTTAAAAAGTATGGACCAGCTCCGTATCATTATGCAAAATAGCTCTATTGACATTCTGGCGATTAATGAAACAAAAATAGACCATTCAGTGTCTGATGATGAAATTAGCATACCTGGATATTATCATATCTGTAAAGATAGAAATAGGTATGGTGGGGGAGTGTTATTATATGTGCGAGAATCTTTACCATTTTCTGAACGAAATGACTTATTAATATCTGATTCGTTAGAAATGCTATGCATTGAAATTACGAAACCACACAATAAGTCATTTCTAATAGTTACATGGTATAGACCGCCAAATTCTGAGGTTAGTTTCTTTAATAAATACGAGACTTTTCTTAGAAAATGCGACTTGGAAAATATTGAAGTAATAATAATAGGGGATCTGAATTGTGATACCATAAAATGTCCTCCCGAAGCTCACACACGCAGACTACAATTTCTATCCTCACTTTACCAGTATAGACAACTTATTAATGAACCTACAAGGGTAACAAGAACATCAGCAACCTTAATAGACTTGATATTGACAAACAAAGAGGAAAATATTTCGAAATCTGGTGTTATTCATCTTGGAATATCTGATCATAGTTTGGTTTTTGCCGTTAGAAAATATTGTGTCACTAAATCTCGGCAAAAGACAAGATATGTTCGCAATTTCAAAAGATTCAATGCCAATAACTTTCTTAATGATCTTTCCCAGATGCCCTGGGAAAATGTGGCGCTTTATGATAACCCAAATGTTTGTTGGCGGGTATGGAGATCCCTTTTCCTACACGTCCTTGATTGTCATGCGCCCCTAAGACTGATGAAACTTAGAGGAAATTCTATTCCTTGGATTTCCCCTGATATCAAAAATCTGATGAGGATTAGGGACTCTTACAAGAAAATGGCTGTTAAAAATAATTCCCAGATTCACTGGGAGAAATTCAAAGAAATACGTAACAAAGTCAATTCAGAACTAACTAAAGCTAAAACAGCATTTTTCCGTAACAAATTTGAGAACTGCGCACAATCGAAAGATATGAAACATAGTTGGAAGTTAATTAATATTCTCTTAGGTAAAAACAAAAAATCAAATAATATCTCTCAACTTAAATGTGATGATGTTGTGATTTCAGATGATACTTTGAAAGCTGAGGCGTTTAATGACTTCTTTGTTAACATCGGGCTAAATTTGGCTAATGAAATTGAGAACGATTCTCCATGTACGAACTTTTCAGATGATGAAAATTACCACTCTAACTATTACTCTAATATAAATTTTAAGTTTTCTGAAATTAGTATGGATGATATTATTTGTCAATTACGTAATCTTAAAATTTCAAAGTCTACCGGTATTGATAACATCCCTGCTATAGCTCTTAAATTGTCCGCGGAAGTTATTGGTCCTTCATTAACATGGATTTATAATCTTTCAATCAAAACTGCGATATATGTTGATGAATGGAAAAAGGCGTGGGTAATGCCAATTTTTAAATCTGATGATAGACAAAGATGTGAAAATTACCGACCGATATCTATATTGCCTATTGTCAGTAAAATACTAGAGAGATCGGTTTTCAACCAGATTTATAAGTTTTTGAATGATAATTCGCTGCTATCTAAACATCAATCTGGCTTTCGGCCTAAGCATTAAACTTTAACAACACTCATTCAAATGTGTGACACACTTTATGAGAACATGGATAATGGTCAGTTGAGTGGTGTTGTTTTCCTTGATATTAGAAAAGCTTTTGATTCTATTGATCATACAATCTTATTGCAAAAGATGAATGATTAATTTGGAATAATAATTGTGGAACTGGATTGGTTTAAGTCCTATCTAACTAATAGAGAGCAAGCATGCATTGTCAACGGTGCAATGTCATCACCTAAAACGATTGTGTGCGGAGTTCCGCAGGGATCAATTTTTGGTCCCTTGCTGTTTTTATTA